TATTTATGTATACCATTATATTATTAACAGGCAATGGACTGTGAAATACTTCCATATTGTACTCGCACTGTAGACCAGTGTCCTTGCAAAATGCTTTCAGAGATCATTGGTTTATTTTTGGGATTTTGATCTGAAAAACTTTGCCCTTACTAGGTAATATATGGCAATGTGGACCCCCGCTCTTCCTGCCGTTCTGGTCTGAGTAATGTGAAACCCTTAGTCCCCTGCCATCTCGTCTGTGTAATGTGAATGCCCTAATCCCGTGCCTTCTCATCTGAGTGATGTGAAACCCTATTCCCCTGCCTACTTGTCTGTAATGTGAATCCCCTATTCCTGTGCCATCTCATCTGAGTTATGTGAAACCCTTAGTCCCCTGTCATCATGTCTGAGTAATGTGAAACCCCTAGTCCTCTGCCATCTCATCTGAGTAATGGGAAACCCTTAGTCTCCTGCCATCATGTCCGTGTAATGTGGATCCTCCTGCCTTGTTCCCTGCCCTCTCATCTGAGTAATGTGAAACCCTTAGTTCCCTGCCATCTCATCTGAGTTATGTGAAACCCCTAGTTCCCTGCCCTCTCATCTGAGTAATGTGAAACCCCTAGTTCTCTGCCATCTCATCTAAGTAATGTGAAACCCCTAGTTCTCTGCCATCTCATCTAAGTAATGTGAAACCCCTAGTTCTCTGCCATCTCATCTGAGTTATGTGAAACCCCTAGTTCCCTGCCCTCTCATCTGAGTAATGTGAAACCCCTAGTTCTCTGCCATCTCATCTAAGTAATGTGAAACCCCTAGTTCCCTGCCATCTCATCTAAGTAATGTGAAACCCCTAGTTCTCTGCCATCTCATCTGAGTAATGTGAAACCCCTAGTTCCCTGCCATCTCATCTGAGTTATGTGAAACCCCTAGTTCCCTGCCATCTCATCTAAGTAATGTGAAACCCCTAGTTCCCTGCCATCTCATCTAAGTAATGTGAAACCCCTAGTTCCCTGCCATCTCATCTGAGTAATGTGAAACCCCTAGTCCCCTGCCATCTCATCTGAGTAATGTGAAACCCCTAGTCCCCTGCCATCTCATCTGAGTAATGTGAAACCCCTGGTTCCCTGCCATCTCATCTGAGTAATGTGAAACCCCTAGTCCCCTGCCATCTCATCTGAGTAATGTGAAACCCCTAGTCCCCTGCCATCTCATCTGAGTAATGTGAAACCCCTGGTTCCCTGCCATCTCATCTGAGTAATGTGAAACCCCTGGTTCCCTGCCATCTCATCTGAGTAATGTGAAACCCCTAGTTCCCTGCCATCTCATCTGAGTAATGTGAAACCCCTAGTCCCCTGCCATCATGTCTGAGTAATGTGGACCCATCAGCCTTGTTCTCTGCCATTTCATCCTAGTAATGTGGACCATCCCGCCTTGTTCTCTGCTATTTCATCTTAATAATGTGGACCCTCCAGCCTTGTTCTCTGACATCTAATTTAAGTAATGTGGATCCTCCCACCTTGTTCACTGCCATATGATCGAAGTAATGTGAAATCCCTAGTCCCCTGCCATCTCCCTGTTATCATGTCTTAGTAATGTGGAACTCTATCTACTTGTTATCATGTCTTTGATATGTTTGTTGAACCTCAATCTCTCTGTAACATGTTTTAGTAATGTGTATGAAACACTATCTGCCTGTTATCATGTCTTAGTAATGTGGAACCCCTGGCTATCTTCCTGCCTTAATGTGTTAGCAGTGTGTAACCCTAATCACCCTTCTGGAGGTGTCCAGGCTAGTGTTCAGGAGGTCCACCAGGATTAACAGTGAGACCTGGCTAATATCACATCCCTGGCACTCCTGTACAGCCTCTTGTGTAATTGGCCCTGGCAGGGCTGCTTTTCCTGTGTATTCACTTGTGTAACACATGAAGTATCTGGCAGGTGCATCCTTTTTGTCAAGGGGTGGCATTTTGGTGAAGTGCCAACTAACCAGTGTTCCAACATAGTTACATATTTGCACCAACACAGCAATGGTATTCATACATTGTTGCAGCGACAGACAGTGGCTGCTGTTTTGACAGGTTCCACTTGGATGTTGAGTGTCTTTAAATGGTTCATAGATGTTCATAAACTGGTGTTACTTGGGTCACAATTTGAAACATTTTAGCTTATGAAATCTGCAAAGGAAAACAACGTTAATGGGATGAGCAAGAAGCTGTTGACTATGGAAATGTCAGACACCTATTGGTGCATGAATCTGGTATCAAACTGAGGCACTGGCAAACAGACCATCATTCAAATGCACATCCTGTTTTGGGAAAAGCATTATGTTTCTAGTGAATGGGAAATCCTGATCAGAGAACTGCTATGAGCATGATCAGGTAACTCAGTGTTGGGTCAGGGTTGTCTACAAGCTTTGGTGAGAAGTTAGACATTGACTGAATCATTTCTGAGGAAGGGCTTGGAATTCTCCCCACAACAACGGATCTAATAGAGTTATATGATTTGTTCCAGTGAGAAACCAGGCAGCTTATCTAGGAGTAAAATAACTTTGTGGACTCCTTGATCATTCTGGGATTTGGTCCATGATAACATTTCTTCGTTGTGCGTTGGTATCCACTCTGATGACAGGATTATGTCACTTCATGTTTGAGGACTCATAACTTGAGATTGTTTTAGCTGCTTTCATGAGTATGGAAACAGCACTGATGCTGTCAGGTTTGTCACATGTCAAGGTTTTTATGAAGTACACACACATCATCTAATTCCTCCATGGCACGACGTCAAGAAACTCAGGTCCTTTACCTCAAAGCATCAATGGAGGATCAAATCCTCTAATGATTTTGACAACTGTTCAGGTGGCAATCATGTGAAGCATCCATTAGAACTTCTGTGGGTAGTGTTTCACTGATAGGTATAATGTGTCTCAATCATAACCACATGTGCTACATGTCTAAACAGTGTGATGGTTGTTAATGTGTTCAAGTGTACTGACATTCTTACACAGTGCTGATCCTCCTATAGTACAATGCTTATCGGAATCAGAGCAGCTGAGGACAATATGAAAGAAGTAAGCCATTTCCCACATGGGACCTTTCAAAATTATTAAAAGAAATTAATTACCTTATTTACCAGTGCATAGTCGTTTGTTTACATGGTAAATGTCTCATTACAAATAGGCTTGTTTTCTGGTTGACATCTAGTTAAGTTGTGTTTGCTTCCAAGTTTCCTAATTACAAAGAGATATAGTGATCATGATGACAATTTATGTGCTCTTGATATTTTTCTTTAAGTCTGTATCAATTTCCTCTCGTTGTTGATAGTTTTTGTTTAAACTCGCTGCCAATCATGCAGGGACTAAAGAAGATTTTGGCCAAATTAATAGCATTTATTAAGCATTATATTGTAGCACTTGCCATTGTTAGACATTCGAACCAGTGAAGGACAACCTATATCCATAAAAACACTGCAAACAATCACTCATGCCCGGAAGGGTTATTCCACCACCACAACTGTCAAAACCATTTTAATGACAGCCACAATTGCTCAGCATTCACTGAGCCTCTGCAGCCTCATCTAAACCGTTCGTGACTATAGTTATTGATTGAATTGATATTGCAAGGCACAGCTCTCTGATCTGTGTTCATACATATACATATATATAGCCTCACCTACTGCTCCCATATAAACTGATGTATGACTGCACATGGTGCCTACAGCAAGGCTTCATTATAAGACTATTGTGATATGTCCTCATTATAAGCCTATTGTAGTCGGCTGTAATTTGACTTGAATATCTACATGCCTCCTTTTTGTGAAATGATTGATTAGAAATTCTCACTGCATTACCTAGTATTATCACTATTTCCCACTGTATTGTTAAGTGGATTAGTTTAATGATTTATGTGTCAGAGTATTCTATTCTGACAATTACTTTGCTGGTGGATTATACCTTAGTTGTAAACTATTGTAGAATATATGAATACTCCATAACAACACATTAAGATGAAATACTCCAATATAATAAGCTTTGACCTTTGTCCTCATAGTTTATGGGCTGCTCTTTGATAGAAGTTGTCATATATGTATTATGGACAGGGAATACCTAAAGAATCCTGCAGAACACTGTCTCTGTTCTAACCAACTTTTATGATAACTGAAAGGTTGCTGGAGTTCATTGATCTTGCCAAGTAACATATACAAATATGTTTTTTCTGCGATGATTATTCCTCATTATGTATGAAATGTCATCCCCTGAATCACGATCATCTTTTCTTTGTATCCTTGTATTAGAGTACCCATGGCACCATCAAGAATTGTAATGGCACTGTTAAACAAGTTAAAATAAGTTCTTGTGACTGGACTTTATAATAAATAACTTGCAACGATGTATATTTGACAAAGCTAGTAATAAAAGTTTTGGTCAAAACTGTTGTGGACAAAAATAAACATTAGAAGTGAATGCACAACATGATTAATAGAATAATCTTGGGGATTGAGAAATTGAATAAGATGTTAAAGCTAAGAAAGAGGGCAGACTTTATTCATTACAAATCCTTGTTATCTCGTTCATGAGGAAAGGACATTCAGCGAAATGAATCAAAAGTATTCTTCATGTTTGAATGTTTAAACTCCAAGGGGCACACGCAAAAATCTTTGTGAGTGGCTTGAGGCATACTTGAAACAAAATACATTTCTGTCCCTTACCCTGTACTATAACACCCGTATCAACTCTTGTAGTTTCTTGTGTGTTTCCCTGTGTGGATGCTAGGACAAGCCCCAGTACCCATGCTTGTCGTATGAGCTGGCTGAAATGAGAGCCAAGTGGTTAAAATATGTTTCATGGCTGATAGTATGTAAGTTTACCCCGATGTTGTAGGTTGTTGCCCATGTTATCATCCTCTGGCTCAGACCTGATACTTTGTGTGGTGTAGTCATATAGCTGGCATATTGGTGACTATGATGTTAAACAACATTGACCACTGCTGTGAATGTACCAATACTGATGGTGTGTCCATCTACTGCAGGGTTCTGCTGACTCCAACTACAGCCAGCCTTCCTCCGACCTCTCCCTGGATGAAGAACGGGAGACACTGCGGCGAGAGACGGAGCGACAAGCACTGGCCCAACTGGAAAAAGCCAAAGTAAGTGTGCGCTTTATGTGGAACATAAAGGTTCCATTTTGTTTATGTCAGTAATTGATGACAATGAAAGAAGGAAAAGATGAAGTTGTGATGATGTAGTTTCACAGTTTATGTCTTCATAAATTTTTTATTTACAACACTGACTTTGCTGTATAGTGTTAGTGCACTTGGAACAGTTATGAAAATGAGGTATTAGATAACTGAATAGAACAACCCTTTCCAATACATCTTGGTATCCTTTTTATCCCCCTGAGGAGGGGATATAGTAATCAGCTTCTCCGACTGTCTGTCTGTCTGTAATCAATTCTTGTCTGGATTATATCTCTAAAACTATTAGGTCTCTTTCATGAAACTTTGAACACACAAAGACCAGATTGGCAACTGGAGCCTTTTCCTTTTTAGGGATTGTTATAATTTTTATTTTTTCCATTTCCACAGCAACAAGTTTAAATTGACTCTGGTCAGACTACAACATTGTCTGGATAACTATTCACTAGTCAAGTTAACCAAAGTAACAGATGGGAAATGATATTTTTATTAAGTTGTAATATATAATAATTCATAAGTTTAATGTGAAAGGTGAGCTTCAGTAACTATAGTTGGTAATGCAACATATTACGTCATAAGCCATGTTCAATTATATGACATCCACTATCTCATATCTTTGAAAAAAAGGACCTGACATACAAATACAAAGTTCCGAATCCCAATTTTGTGGTGTAGTTTTGACAGCTCAATAATTCCTTTACTATGCAGACAGACAGATTAGATGGGAATACTTTCATCAAGTTGGACAGAATACTTTGTAGGAGTTGCTGTAACAATTAGATGATTTGTTCTTTCGAGTTTGTTGGGGTCGTGGGGATTTGTCATCCTCTGAAGACTCTTGTTCTTGTCAAAACATAAGGTTGGTTTGAAAGAAAATGAAATATCAAATTAAAAATGGTCCATAGACTATGATAGAGGCTGGTTTCACGAAGATGGCTCTGAATAGATCTATGACAGGTTTGACTTCAATATTAAACACTATTTATTCGTTCATTTATTGGTTTCAGACCAAGCCAGTAGCATTTGCCGTGAGAACCAATGTGTCTTACGATGGGTCCCTGGATGATGACTCGCCTGTCCATGGGTACGCTGTGTCTTTTGGGGTCAAGGACTTCCTCCATATCAAAGAGGTAGGTAGCAAATTTGAAATAGTGAAATGACTGAAATGGCTAGATTATTGCTTCACCTACCACAACCTTCTTCATGCCATCCTAACATGTTTATTTTTTATCTTCAGAAATTCAATAATGACTGGTGGATAGGGCGTTTAGTGAAGGAGGGATGCGATGTTCGCTTCATCCCCAGTCCAGCCAAGCTGGAGAACCTCAAGCTGCAGCCAGGCGGAGGTGGGCGCACAGGAAAACTCTACACAAGGTAGGCTGAGTTGTTGCTCACTTGTGAAGCCTTCATGTTCTATCATAACATTTCAAACAGTTGTACAGATGCAGGTGTTAGGCCTGGGACACCAACTTGACCATTGTGTTGCTCTGGTTGCTGCTGAGTTTAGTGAGCTCATATGAAATTGTTTAATGGAGGGAAAGAGTGACTTGTGTCAGGCAGGGATCACACTGTGGCACATGCTGCTTCTGTTTTGGGATAGATACCTAATAGTCATGACAATTATTTCTGTTTCCTGTCACTGATAATAGGCTGCATGACACAGGCTAAGTGTATCATATATAATGTCACTGATAAAGTAATATTTGTATGATTTCACATCTTTTCACAGTTTTTCGTAGTGGTAGTTTAGTCTGTATGTGTTACACCTTTCTGCCACCATTATTTTGCAAGAGAAACAGATTTAAGAAGTTATTTATTTTACTGAAAGAAATTCTGTCTCTCCTTTCGTTTCTTTGATTTTCATGATCACTTTGTTTTCAGCTATATCAGTTTGAGTCTTTTCTCCCTATTTTGTGTTGTTTTCTCTATTTAGAAACAAAGAAGGAAAAAAGACCCCAGATGTGCAGGAAGGACCGACTCCTCCCATACCAAATATAGCAACACTGCCCCCAGGGTATGCTATTTGATTGACCAATGCATCCCTCAGATAACTCTGATTGGTTGAGCAGATGTCTAAAATTCCATGTGATTGGCTGATACTTCCCCACACACAACCCTGGTGTGAAGCCTTCACTTTTTTCCCCTTGTATTTCCTAGGCACTATTTATTTGTAATTTGTTTGGCCATCAAATGCCACAAACAATCTGATTGGTTTAGCCCTGTCCAAGAAGCCATTTGTTTGGCTGATTGTCACCCACACACTATCCTTGAGTGTGGATGAAGCCTTCACATGTGTTCCTTGTAGAACGTGTAGGCATGTATGATTCAACTTGTCAATGTCTTTGTCCCCACATTGTAAAGAATTAAGTCGCATCAAGTGCATGCTATGTACAAGACATTTAAGAAATTAAAAAGAAACTAACTTTGGAAGTGCTTGCATTTTGTAAATGAAGTCCCAAGTTTGCATTCAGTCACCAAGACACACCTGGGATGTATGTTTGGTTCCTGCATGATGTTAATGTTTTGTTACCCCCACGCATATATTGCAGGGGAAGGGGCAGGGGATATGGTGATGAGCATGTCTGTCTGTAAGTTGTCTGTCTTTCTGTTAGTTTGTAATCTATTTGTTTCTGGAGCATAACTCACAATCCATTCAATGTTTTTGCAGGGTACTTTCAATACTCACTGGTATAATGATTCCTTTTGATGTATCAGGATTTTTTAGGAGATTATGACTCCTCGTTACTGTTAAATGCAGTCCAGGGTGCCATTGTACAAAACAACCTAAGCGCTGTGATGATCATAAGCCTATGTTAAAGTATGGGAGTTATGATCACTCTCTGCAGAGATCCCTTTGTACAATGGCACCCAGTTTGTTATGTTTTGTTCATTATTGCAACCTGCTAGTTGTGTTTGGTGTTAATTTTGTACTTAAGTACACAATCTTATTTTGCTTTTTTCTATGAGCCGATATGTAGTAGTCAAATATGTATTATGTTTTGGATAATATCTTTTACTGTATCTGAAATCTGATTTACCAAGTTTACTTGGATGGTTCACATACAGAACTGAATCTGTCAACGGTAGACAATTATAATAACTAGAGTGTATGGCACAAGGTACATTATCATATATGTTTGGGAAAGGACGTTTCCAGAAATTATGGATGAGGAATCAACAATAAAATGGGACAAATGAAGAAAAGAGAATTATTGAAATAAAATTTAGTTTTGTGATGTGATGACAATAATTGATAGAATTGTTTGAGTTGCCAATCAGATTTCATGAAAGCAGTATTGACAACAATGTGGGGACTGAAAAATTACTGGGTACAGTGATATGCTTTTTTAATATTAATTTTCTTTCAGTTCTTTGTTAACCTTGACCAAGCAGATTCTTGAGAAGGCAAATACGCCAGACTCTTACCCTTCTTCACCACCACCATTGGGGTCAGTGAGTTGGTCACATGTCTGGTCATGTGACCAGTATCTAGGTGTGCAGTGTCTAGATCGAGAGTTCTAAAAAAGTTTGATTCTAAAAGCAGTTTGGTCAGTTGAGCTTTTGAAGAGTTTGATTAGACTTGCTTTATATGCTTGCATCAGAATTCACACAAATTGTGTGTGGTGTGTTACAGCTTTTGTAGAAATTGAGCACCTGGTTAAATATGTGGTTGATGATCAGCAGTGCCATGTTTTTAATAATGTGTTTTAAAGATATTGACGTAGATTGCAATGTGTGATCTCAAAGAAGTAGCATGTATCTGTAGTTGATGAAAGATCATTGCAAAATCTCACCTTCTTCTTTAGTATCGGACCCGTGAAGATCCGGGGTAGAATAGGTCTTCTGCAACCCATGCTTGCCATAAAAGGCGACTATGCTTGTCGTAAAAGGCGACTAACGGGATCGGGTGGTCAGGCTCGCTGACTTGGTTGATGCAGGTCACCGATCCCAATTGCGTGGATCGATGCTCATGATATCAATCACTGGATTGTCTGGTCCAGACCACCGTCATATAGCTGGAATATTGCTGAGTGCTGCGTAAAACAACAAACCAACCCAAACCAAATCTTTAGTATCAAGGTGATTCAATGAAACCGTAGCTTAGAGAGATTTCATTGAAATTGTATTGGGTGCAATGATCTAGATGGATCTAGCACATCAAACTAGCCTTGTGATAACTAAGTGTATCACTGACATGCAGCATAATGACTTGCTTCCAGAAGGTTTGCATGTTTATGCTATGGTTCAAGCAAAACAAAGCATGGGAGTATATGGCTTGTTCTTTGACTTTGAGCTGGAAATGGAAAAAAGCTGTTGAGATAGATCACATATGGGTACACATGGAGGATTTTACAGGACATTGACCAATGCGGCATGGACAGATTTGTTCTGCATTTGTAGTTGCTTCTAGCACATAGATGAAACATGTATCTAGAGGCAAAATTTGGCTTGGATTTGTAGATCTGATTCTGTTTTGATCAGTGCATACTGGTAGTTAGCAGAAACTGCTTAGCTTGTATGTTGGCAGACAGTTTGCCTTAGCCTGCCAGCCAGAGGAATAGATCCACTAACTCCCTGAGTTTCCCTTTCTGTGTATGGAGAGGCGTCTTGGTAAAGGATTTTGTGTGTGCAAATATTTGACATGCAATATGCTGAGGTTAATTCATCTGATTCTGTGGATGTGAGTGGCATAAGTAATAGCCTGCTGAGAGGAGCAAATCATTAGGGGAGCTTACTACTTGCGACACACTTTGATCAATCTCGCAGTACACATCAACCCAAATCATCCAAGATGGGAACAATTGCCCAGAATTGATGCCTTCAATCTGGCATCATTACTGGATTACACTTATGGAAGCAGCACAGAGGTAGCTGACCTGTGTTATGCTGTCGACTTGTGTTGTATGGTGGCTCCTGCTTGAGACTACAGTCAAAGAACAGCATGTGTTGACCACTGCCAGTGGATGTTATGTAGGACAAGAAATTTCACGATGTCCTTTTCAATTGGGTCCATTTCTGATCATTGAGTGAATGATCTCACCTGATATCATTACTTCCTTATGATAATTCCAAATGATGATCCTGAAAATTATAGGTTATATCAAAATGGATACAAGGACACAATCTAAATGTCTTTTTTCTTTTGTTTTTCCCATATGGCTTGCTTGCATGGTTAGACTCAGCAAGTATGTAACCAATATCCACAATAGATTTATCAATATTACTTAATGTCTGTGATAGCTCCATATGAGTCTCCAGACCAGTGCTATTAGGCGTCACATGCTGACGTTGATGGATCCTGTTTTACATCATCTACACTTGTTTGACACTGGGAATGTATAATGAGTTGATGTACCAAGAGATAGGCATTGGCAATGTTGGACTTCTTCCAAGGAGGCTTACACTCACCATTGTGGGGGCGTAGGTTAACAGTCAGCTGGAGTTGACATGCTGGTGCATAATCATTGAAAACGGATTTCCTCTTTGATAAAACTATTCCAAGCTCAAACATTGGAAATATCTTTACAGGGAATTTAACAGAGACTCTGGCTAAAGGAATTTTAATGCAGTTTTCATGTACAGAATACTTATGACTAAGAAAGTTTTCTCGTACACAGGTGAAACTACGCTTATTCAACTGTCTGAACATAATGAGTCTAGCCAAGTTCTAGAGTGCATGCGTTGAGACACATTTGTGCTTTAGTCATTGAATGACAAAATGAGTGCTGTTGTATAAATGTCAATTAGTCATGTGGTAATTAGGTCAGTGGGAAATGATAGTATCAACACGTGACTCAATAAGAATCAAACTGAGCCATGCCTAGAATGTTCATTTGTTCTATGTAATGTTACCTTGTAATTATCTCGAGGTTTTCTGTTTCTGAGCATTTTTTGTGTCTTATTTTCTTTCTCCTTAAAAAGATTATTTTATTCACTTTCAAATACAATTTTTTAATTTTTTTATTCTTCTTCTGATTTTCTTTTTGTATGTGTATGTATACTTTTTATTTTGATAACAGCAACAAAACAAAATAATGGTAATTTTAAGTCTGTTTCGATATTGTCATGACACTTACCGGTAAACATTTTTTTCAGATCATGATTTGGGAGCAGGATTCATTCCTGAAATATTTGCCCAATGATTAATGCTATCACAGTAGGATTAATCTTGGTGTTAAATCGATTCTTTTAATTATGTTTTAGCAAAACCAACTCTTCCTCTAACATTGACAACCTGCTCGCCAACTCCAAGTCTTCGAACTCACGTGGGTCCACACCACCTACCCCAGGTAAGGCAGGCTTGATTTAAGGAACTTGAATTTACTTGCACCAGATGCATGATAACATGAAAACTTAGTTGCGCCAGACAAAACCAGGTTGCATCCTGTACCCATAAATTTATCAAACTTGAAATATGTGCACATAATCTTGAAGTTCCCACATTTTGACTGTCAAAGCTTCAATTGGTTGTGGTTTAAAGTTTGAGTATGGTTTCAGGTTTAGAAGATCAGAATGGCTTGGACAGCAACCTTGGAGAGGACAGCGACAGTCTTGGTAAAACCAGCAAAGCCAACATTACACCACCGGCAAAGGAAAAACGAAAACCTTTCTTTAAAAAGGTAAAGCATTGAAAATGGCCAAATGTGTAGATGCTCACCCATCAATACCACAATTCCTACCATATGATATCCATCTTGTCCACAATAACTACCACACCATCAATACCAGTAAAAGCGCCCTATTGTTTCCATCAATACCACTATGACTACCATAGTATATTCATCAATACCACTATAACTTACCATATTATTTCCATAAATACCAACATAATAACATATATATTCATTAATGCCGTAATGTATGTTTCCATGTTTACCAGCACCAAGGGGTAAATCTCACTCACTAACTCACTAACGAACGAACGAACGAACGACAATTGCAATGACCATACAATCATCTTAGTTTGAACCCGTGAAGATTTGGTGTGCAGCAACCCATGCTTACCGTAAAAGGGGACTATGCTTGTCGGAGAGGCGACTAACGGGATTGGGGCTAATTGCATGGATCTTTACTCATTATATCAATTGTTTGTCAGGCACTTGGTTGTTTACAGGCCACTGTCATATAGCTGGAATTTTGCAGCCTTACATTACACGACAAACTAACAAATAAACACAAGAAAACAATGTCCATTCCTGTGATCTTTTAAACTTAAGTCAATTATTCAATGGATGCAGTACTATATGTACGTCATGTCATTTGCCTGCATGAGTAATGATTTCAAACTGTAATGTTGCTGAAAGATTGCAGACCATTTTTTTAGTCTCATGAAAAAAGTTCACTTGAGGGATTCCTTTCAGAAAACTAATCCAATGGTTGTTATTGATACATGTATTGTTGTCTGTTGCAGTCTGAAAGCATTCCTCCATATGAAGTTGTGCCTTCAATGAGGCCTGTCGTGCTGATTGGGCCTTCCCTGAAAGGATATGAGGTGACGGACATGATGCAGAAGGCACTGTTTGATTATCTCAAACACAAGTTTGAGGGAAGGTGAGAGAAATGAACAGGAGCATGCATGCAAGGAAAAGTATGGAGCAAGAAGTTTTAATTTTCTTTTTTGTTCGGCAATGTCTGCTCTGTGGTTTTTGACAGTTTTAATAACATAAACTAGGACAAACAGAATAAAACAGGACTAGCAGAATATCAATCTTCATTATTTGAGATTTAAGATACATACCAAAACACTCCTTGCCTTTGTTCTGCTCATAATTTAGTGTTAAGGTCATTTTAGTGATAATGCATCCCTGTGTTGTAGGATAATCATCACTCGTGTGACAGCTGACATTTCACTGGCTAAGCGTTCACTTCTCAACAACCCCAGCAAGAGAGCAATCATGGAGAGGGCAAACAGTCGGGCTGCTGGGCTAGGTGAGATATTTACTATACATCATATTGAGGCAGTACAGTACATGTAGTATTGAGAATAATGATAGTCCATTCTCAACAATGACATACATATGTAGGTGGCTGTATCACCTCCCTGTTGAAAGTTATATTACAGTGTCATTAATGTGGAATTAATTTGTTCTCACAGTTCTGTCACAGTTTTAATTGAATGAACAGATAGTTCATGAACTTCATGACATGTGCAATTTTTGTCAGTTTTCATTGTTCCTCTAAAAGGTTTGTAGCTTGACATGACCGTATTTATACGTATTGAAAATATTACTTTTGCCCATCATTGACTGTTATCAGTCATTTATCAGTGTAAACACTATGAGTGAGAATTTTCATACTTGAAATAACCACAATACACCTATATTCCTTTGGGGTACGTTACTGTGATGTTTCTACCATATGATTGGTGGACTTTTGAGCTTACTATGCATACATAACATCTTAGATGAGGACTACATTTGAATAGACTTGATATTTGTGACAGGTCCGAGTCACAGAATTAAGCAAGTAATCAACATAGATAAATTAGTAAACATTGATATCATTCAAAACTAAAACCATAAGCACACCTGCTTCTATATGTTCACTTTTTGATACTTTGTCTTGAAATCTCAAACCATGATTGGCCATCAAAGGTGAAAGTTCAACACTATACTATTATGGTTTCAAGAGAAAAAGCTGTTTTTGCTATGTGATTGCAGTATTAATATACCACTAGGAATGAACTCAGTACGCAACTAATCTGCAAAAGTAATCTTTATTGTTGTTGACAGAGTTGCAAATCTAAAAATCAAATTTTAGCAATTGTGGTCATATTTATAACTTGATGTTGCAAAATCATTGTTTTTTCATATTATTACATGAAATGACATATTCAGCTTATCTTGTAAAGATGAAGTCTTTTCTAAAGCAAATTTTTAATGAAGTAAGTCCTGAGATAATGTGTATACTTTCTAGCTGTTTGCATTTCATATTGCTATCATGCCTTCAGCATTGAACAGGCCTGCAGCTTTACAGTAACCTTGCTTGGAGTTGTGGAGACAAGGGAAACAACTCTTCATATTCTCTCATGTCCTTTCATGCCATGGAATATTCCCATCCAGCTGTCAGTTAATGTGTGAACTGAATTTGTTGCAGCTGAAGTACAAGCTGAGATTGAGCGGATATTTGAACTGGCACGAACCCTTCAACTGGTTGTGTTGGACTGTGACACGATTAACCATCCATCTCAGTTGGCAAAAACATCTTTAGCTCCAATTATTGTTTATGTCAAAATTTCATCACCAAAGGTAACATTCTTTCTTTCTTTTTTAAATAGGTAAATTATTTGAACTTATTTGATAAATTATTTGAACTGCCTGTTGTAAATTGCTCTTGTCCAATATGATCATCTGTCTTATGAACCATGAATTGTACAATTAAGCTCTTTCACATTGAAATGTTAATTGACTAATATTCTCTGAATTTTCTCGCAAAGGTTTAAGAGTATGTCCTTGATGTTACTTTTTATTCCGTATGCCTTTAACTTAATGTTTCATATAAATTCTGGCAGGTACTACAGCGATTAGTCAAGTCAAGAGGTAAATCCCAGAGTAGGAATATGAATGTTCAACTAGTGGCTGCTGACAAGTTGGCGCAATGTAGTCCCGTAAGTGACTTTTTATACATTCATATATATATACCTTAAAGAGGTTATATTTCCTGTTCAGCTGGGCATTGTTTTATGTGCAGAGATTAAGATTTTTCTTGTAAACTAAGCAGGAAAGAGCAATCAACTGTACACACATTTTCTGCCAATCTCTCATTGATTCAGTTAAAAAATATCAAATAATAGAACTTCGAAGAATTTTGATGCAATGATCAGATGAAATTGTATCTGATATTATTAATTCATCAGGAATAATATATTCCAATAACAAGTTTTATTAATTGTATCCTTTATTATATATATTTAAAATAGTTATAACCAGAAACATAGCGCTTTAGTACAACTTGGGACTTCCCACGTTACATGTATTTCAATTGCGAAAACGTTATGTTGACATAATAGTCAAACTGCAACAAATATGACTTTTAACAAGTCAGTATGGCATTTATCCAACTAGACACAGATGAAATTTCTGAAATTGTTGTAGACAATATTAAATGAAATTTTGAATAATATTAATCAAATATATTACATACATAAGTCGAGAAATACAATGAACACGTTTTTATAACCAGATAGTGTAATAGTAGGATTACTTTGCATACTTTTGTTTGGATTTGTTGACTGGTATTTTCCATATTACCTACTCGCGGCGATGTCTTTATGTTGGGGAAAAAACATTGTGTCAGTGTAAAACTTGAGTTTATTAAAAATGTACATAAATTTGGGGAAGCATGCATCACCTCACACTATAACCTGGTTAACACCTGCTATTGGAAGACTGTGTTGCCATACCCACCAGTCATGGCAAATTATCATGGGTTCAAATCCTGGTTCGCCCCGATTATGTTTTGAGGTTTTTCGGCACCATACCTCTTCTTGTGGGCTTCACCACTGAGATTAAAAGTCTAAGACCTGCATCACTTTAGTCTTCCTTCCCACATTAAGCTGACATGCTGTGATATGACAGGAATACTGTTCAAAACTTGCTAAACCCAAGTCACTCACTCACTGTTTCCATTTATTACATACATTCTTCCGAGAGTGTCAAACATTTTGCAAAAAAATACATCATAGATATGCAACTGACCATTGCTACTTATGTGTGGACGATAAAAAGGAATTGGTAAATTTGACATGGAACTATATAGAATGATACTGGCAAAATTATTCCCTGATAAATGTTTATTTTCTTACTTTTCTTGTACATATGTCTAATTGTATGTGTCCTTTACATGTTGTCATTGAGGTATATCCACAAATATTTGAGTCATATGAGTCAGTAAAATAATCAGGGGTCTGTGACCCCAAAAGCCATCAATGAAGACAAGAGTACAACACTAAGGAAGGATGCCCCTTCCTATGCCACCATAAAGAGGTTGGCAGGAGAGTTTAAACCATCTTCTCGAGGCAAGGGAGTTAACTGACTACTAAAGTCCAGTTTCTACTGTTGTCAAACCAGGCCAGAATTTCTGGGTCCGATCGTAGTGCCACCAGTGGCTTATTACGAGTTATGTCCCTCCTATGTCCCTCTGATTGACCAATCAGATTCCACCTCTCATATCACTTGCATTTGTTTCAAACAAAATGGCGCCACCCAGTCAAGGCGATCCGATCGATAAGCAAGATTTATATTGTAATAAAACGGGCCTTACTTCGCAAAAAGCATCAGATCATGTGAGCACCTTGATAAAAACATTAAAAGATTTGGAAAATTTCTGTTGATGCTAAGTTGACAGAACATATGCTTTGCAAATCCTGCAGTTGACCGAAATCTGCACGGCAGTTTATGAACCGGATGTTGATTTTGTCACACGATTTTGATTTGACAATGCATAGGCTCGTCAGTCCAGCTGAAATATAACTCCATAATTGCAGCCTCGTTCCACATGGGTGGAAACTTGACTTTCATACTCAGTTGAGTCTCTTGCCTCGTGAAGATGATTTTAAGCATGACAGTGAGAGCCTTTAAGAAGACTCCCAAGAGAGAGTACCGTATTTTCTTGAGTATAGTGCACACTTTTTAAAAAAACCTGTACGTTCCATTATCACCTCATTATTACCTCAATAACATCATGTAATGTACACAACAGAATATTTCACTATTATGCAATTCCTTATATGTGAGGCTTAGAACTCATCATTCAACCCTCATGACAGTGACGAAAACATTATAATTGTCTTTGCAGGAAATGTTTGATGTGATTCTGGATGAAAACCAGCTGGATGATGCATGTGATCATCTGGCTGAGTTTCTGGAAGCTTACTGGCGTGCCACCCATCCTCCCACCCTCACCCCTGCCTCCCCCTCTCACCCCCACAGGACTATGCCCCAGTCCCCCACGGGACCCCTGTCCAGGCACAACACAGTGCCTGCAGGTGTCTCACACAGTCGTTCAGGCAGTCTGGAGCGCCACCGGCGACCAGCATCACCAGAACGTCGCCATGAGCACGACCGAGATGCCAGGTTACGGGATGTTCACGACTATGACCGTGACTACCAGTCACGTGACTATGACACGAGGGGGGGCAGGGATTACGGAAGGGGAGACCCTCGTGACCAACGTTCTCACGACTATGATTCACGGAGACACGCTCGGGATTATGAGCACCATATAGACTCGCGAGATAAACTCCATAGCTCTCCGCGGAATAAAAATTACCCGCCTTTGCGTCAGGGAAGTATAGACATCTAGCATTGGATTTGTGCAATTTCTGATGGAGTTGGTTCTTGGAGTATCCAACTACTGGTTGTTTGTTTATGGATTACCACATTTTAATGTGATGCAATCTGTTTTCTCTCCTTTGTCAAACTTGATATCTTGTGGGAGCGGCTGTGTGACTTACACCAGGAAGGACCCAGGATTATTCCAGCAAACCTTCGTGGAGTGGAGTGACCTTTTACCTTTGGAGTGTAAATTGCATATTGCAAGCTCGACGTCACCACTTGTTGTGCATAATGAACTGTGTACGTACTTTGGTACTCTGCAGCCAAAGTGGTTTATTTGAAAAAAAAGTTTTTGCTCAAATCTCTTTAGCTCTGTACACTTGTGTGTTATGGGAAAGTTTGTGAGCTCACAATTTTTAGCTCCAGAAATGGGGAACTTTCTAATTTCATTTGTTTTCTTAATGTTTTAGAGTGCTTGAAATTTGAAAAGATCTTTTCGTATAAGAAGCATTGCATCAAATGTTTTCATTGGACAAGTGAGATGTACCAGTTCTATACTCCAACATCCACACAAGACTTTGTGAAAGTCTGTCATTTTAAAACATTTGATCTCTTCGCATTAATTGCATTTGAAGCATCTCTCCATATGAAAGTTTTGTATAATCTTGAAATAACCTCTTACTCCTGTTAAGTGCTATGCTTCAAGGGATCATTTCAAAACCAAAAAAAAATGCCACATTTAATGGCTAGGGCAAAGAATGTTATTATAATGTATTTTTGTGATTTCAATTGTTTCCAGTTTGTTCATAGAAGTTTAAATCTCAATTTATCCAAATAGATTCTTAATTCCCAAATCTCTTTAGCCTAGTCCTTTTTTCTGCAGAGAGTTTCCATAGATATACTATTTTCTTTTGAACTGAATTGTTATATGCTATACCTGAATCAGGGCATAAGCTGCCAGTGGAACTCCTTCAGATGCTCCCTCATGAATATTAATGAAGTTAATGACCAAAGATAAGAGAATTGTGTCAATGGTTTCACAAAATCTTGTTCTAGTAGATTTTCGATTCAGTAAGGAATCAGCCCAGAGAATCGTCTGGTTTGATTTCTCTGATGCAGAAAAGGATTATTATGGAAAAGAGATTTGGATGTAGGTGTATCATATTTCCAGAAAGTTTTCTTTTCTTATTTGTTTACATTACTTAGTTCTGAAGAATTTTGTGCACTGGTAGAGGTTTAAATCTGATCAAGACAATGAATTTGTTGTATATTTGCTCTGAAGTTGTTCCATAATATTTATGCAGCACTTACGGACTTAACTCGGGTTACTAATGAGAATCAAGCTTGATTAGGCTTTCTTTATAGTTTCACATTATTTGAAAGAGGTTGGAGTTTTCCAGGAATGTTTTTGCTGAGTAAAGGTTTGTATTCGTGACAATTCAAGGTTATCAGAATGTGTTAAGTTCCTAAAATTAACATTTTTGTGTGGATGTACTTAATTTCCTGACTGATGGTTGTCAGCAGTAGGATGAAAGAGTAAAACTGATATTATTCCTGAATTGGTACGGATCAAGTAGGCATTGTCAAATATTTTCTAAGTGTAACTGGTAGTTTTGAAAGCACACCAACATCCCTACTGATGGAAACATAGATTATTTAAAAAATAACATGAGGCACATGGTGATACACATCACAGGGTTAGACTTGAATGTACTTGATAAGTCAGTACTATTTCTATCAGCTCAAAATGATGATATTAATTGGTTTGTATTTATGAATATGTAAATTGTTTAATTTAATGATCTATTCCAAGCTGTTCAGGACCAAATGATGCGCACAAGAAACTTAGGAAATCTTACTCAAGCTTAACATGAGTTTTGTGTTCTTTGTTTCTCTTCCATATATTTATCTGAGGTAGATGCTCAGCTGTGCAGATTGGTCAGCCTTGTGCATGGCACCGATTCCTCCAACATCAGTCTCAGACTCCTGCACTCGGCCACTATGATGCACCATAGTGTTTTTATTCAACCTAGTAATTAATTCCTGCAAGACTTTTGGTGATTACGCAAGATGAGAAACAATTGCATTACTCAATATCTTTTTGCCGTGTCATTAAAGATGAACAATTTTATCACTCTGTTGAAAGATAATTCTGTAATCATATACATAGATGTCTCCATCACAGTAAAGTTCATAGACACAGATGATATTAAGATTAATTGGGTGCGGGCACCTATTTTAAAACATCATTCTGTATTTTTTCGCTAATAATATACTTAATATGAGAAAAATACTTGATAATCTCATTGTTATTACGTGTGATATTATTCAAAATTTGTGATTAAAACAACCATGACCTGATGTCTCAAACTGCTTTTTCATATTGTATGTATCTCATCTTCACATATTTATTCCACAGTTTTTTTATTTCTCCATGCGTTTTGTGTGCTGACTTATTTGCATAAGGTGATACGTGTATTATTTTCCCTTTGTTATAGTGGCGAAACATTTTTCACTTTTCACACCGGGTATATTATTGAGATGTAACCTGATTTATTACCACCTATTTTTCAGTTGTGTATGAAGCTCAACCAACATACCTTGTTAATTCCATCAACAATGTGTTTTCCCTCTCACTGAGTGGGATGATTAAGGTATGACATTCAGTGATAGAAATTCAAGGTTACTTAGTCAGAATGACTGATGAAATCCTTTCGAATGAACAGGTTCAGAGTTTAAAATCTGCTCATGAGAGCCATGCATTTACATTACAGCTTGTGACAGATGCCTCAGTTAAAGTCTGGGCATGTGCATGTGGAAATTACCAGGTCTTTCATAATGAACATTCTCTGTTCTATCAAACACAATAGATGCTTTCATTCTGGCTAAAGTTCAATTTTAAGTAAAGACTAATTTGCCCTTGTTTAATGAATATTTCTAGTTACAAAACCTGATATTGTCAAGACAAATTATATTATGATAAATCATATCCTCATTGTTTATTACAATGAGTGCTGATCTTTCCTTGCAATGTGAGAATGCTGTCAGGCTGAGAGAACATAGTATTCAGTATTTGTATTGGAATTAACTGGCCTCTGTTTTATTTATTTGCTATCAAAGAGCAAATGTTTTGTGCAATCCTTATACATTTATCTTGAATAGTGCAATATTTTGTCGTGCTGCTTTTTGCACATGGACCTTATAACATTATTTATGTATTGTTTTCATCCATTAAGCCTCAATTTCTCACACCCATCTTGGTGTCTGTTTAGTCAACTTGCACCTCTCCACATCACATCATGTTTGTTTGAAAGATCTAGTCCTTTGTCATCATACATGTGATGTAATCACTTTAGACAATGCCAGTTCAGGGCTATACTATTACACTATTTGACCCTGATGAAGGGTTGTTATGAAATTGTGATTACTCTGTCATTGCTTGCATATATTGGCCGTTTTACTGGTAAGATATATAAAATTATACATATTATATTGATATGTATCTCCAATGGATATGTTTTTCCAAATCAATTATGTAACCATGATAGCATTTCAGAGTTTTCTCAAATATTTCCTCAATTTGTCTTGCGCTATGTGGAATTCAATTAAAATTTCGGCACGGTTCTGTAATTGTGTGAAGCAGCAATCAGTATCACATGTATCAGATCATGAAGATCCTCATTATAACGACCCTGGTTGTTTGAAAAGAATGTATGCTTTCATTCCGTTTCCATTATACAAACGACATTGTTCAGAGTGTTTTGTTTGTTGACAGTTTCATTCTTTATATCACCCAACAGGACAGACTATATACATTTTCTAACACTATATTACCAAATGTTTTTTTCCATAACCATTTGCCCAAGAGCTGCAGTGATTTATCATAGAATGTCAACTGAGACATCCACCTCCCAAGAACCAAGGTATCATAGGACTGTTTTCATTCTTTTTGCCTTTTGATATTTTTCTTAACTGATTTGACAATATTGGATTCCATGGTTTCTATTTATTTTGCTCTATGAATTCACTGATTTATATAATGGATGGGCCTTGTTTGTTTTTCCTTGTATATACTACATGCCAGAGCCCATACATGTATATCATCTTGGCTGCCGGTTGATATCTACTGTTCAGCTGTTGTCTCGATGGGAGTGTGTTGTCTCGGGTTCAAAGAACTGGGAGATTTGGCACTGTGTGATGTGAGATTTAGACACAGTTTTAATGAACTAGCAATAAGGCCATGATAACAAGATAACCAGGTATTTGCTTCCTGTCTCAATCCAATCTGTATGTTTGTCTGCTCTGAAATATTTTCTTCTTCAATAGTAACTAAACGAACAATTTGGATCAAAATCTGGTAATTGAGTTATCATGATCTTGAAAAGACAGTTTTCATTTTCACTTTATCAAGCATATTGACTGCTTTGATAAGACATTTTTTGTTACTGAATGCCCAGAAATTATTTTCCAAGGTGGGAGGAAGAAGCAGCAGTGTTTGAATTTTTTGTGTGTGCAAGATATTAATGTGCAATGGAAGTTAGCTTCCATTCTTGGATGTACAATACATCTTCAGTGTCATGAAAATTGTCACCTTTGTTTATGCCTGTGTTTTGTCAGAAACACATTATATGAAAGTAACATGCAACATTTCTATTCTACACTCAACATATAAACCCCCCTGGCACCTTTCTTCTTTAAAAATTGTCTAAAATATAACCGAAAATATCCCAAAATATTATGAAAAAAAACTCCAATTGTTAATAATGATATCTTCAAGAATTTGAATTTCATTTTGTCTGAGATGGATTCGGTGAAAAATGCTGAATTATTAATCATTAAACCCTTAAACTAATTTCTGCATGGAATTTCTCTTTACGTAATATAGTGGACAAATTCACTTCTTGGTTGGTTCTAGAAAAACCTTTACTTACGCAAAGAAAGGATTCCATTGATAATTTATTTCTAAAAAGTGTTGAATAATGTCTGTCCTTGCACAAGCACATTTTACCTAATTAAATTCTTTGTTTTATATGAAAACATTTCCTTCCCAGATTTAAGTAACTATTTTATGCTGTACGTTTTCCGATTTAGCAAGTGCCCCATGGGTTCCTGAACACAAAGAAAATATGTTTGTATAAAAGGGATTTGGTCATTTGCTGAACCTGACAGTATCATGATGTCTAGTGTCAGGCTTATCGTTCTGTCCACACCCAAATACATAATACTTGTATATATAACACAAACATTACTGTGTTGTAGTTTCTTTGGAGCTTGAGTTCTGGCCAATAACTAGAGCTTCCGATAGGATTCTGGTCATGGTTACTGTTCTTGTGTCGGAGAAGCCCACCCAAAGTCTAGCTGTTCATGCCACAAGCTCTCTTGTAGATACAAACACTCATACAGTAGAATGTTCTTTGTAATATTCTGTGCATAATTGACTTTGAAACAAGTCAGTTGACTCTTTTTCAACTCTAGAAGCCTGAATGTTTCTTTGCAATACAAACACAATGATTTCCTCACACAACCTTACAACATAGTAATCCTGATATGATGTCGCTGTTAGTCTGTTCCGACATTTGCATGCACTATTGTTTAATTCTCTATAGATAAGTCTTACTACTGCTGTAAGGCAATGCCTGTACACCCTCTGTTTATAATTGCTGCCCGTGACCACCATACCACAGTAGGCCGCCATCAAGGGCAGATAACTTCAGTAGGTGTGGGAATGCAGCCATGTGCAGTGATGGATCAGTGTTTAAGATGGAAGTTCCATTGCTGCAGTTACTGTCATAGTGGTATGATTGTCAGTATGTCAGACAGCCCTTCAGCAGCCTGGGTGATGCAGCTGTCTGTATGTCTCTGTGGGGACAGGCTACATTACCCCAGCTACTTATGTGCCAGGGCCATGTCTATATTCACTGTCAAGCTTTAGCTTCTGTCTGAATGCCATTGACTGTTTCCCTTATTGTGGCCACCGAACAGGCCAATCTGGTTTTATTTTCACCATGTGACTCTTGTTGGATTTGTAAATAAAATTTTTATCTCCTATTTTGCCTTATGTTATCAATGAATTTTCAGAAATACCTTTAACATAAGAACTATTTCAACATGAGAACCATTTTGCATTAATAATTTAGGGAGCCAAATTGTTTTGAAAATGGGGTCTATCATTTTACACATTTTGTGGCCTTTGAATGCTAAGGTGGTTCACATAGCCCAGCCGTCTAAGGCAACAGTTGTGTAGTGCAGAATTGTGTCCCATAGGCATGCCAGAAACTTGGTGTGTTCCTGGTTCTTCCTGGTTATCTTTAGAGGTTTGTTAGTATCATAGCCATGTTGAGGGTTGTGCCAAAGTGATAAACATCTAAAAAAAAGACATCACTTCACGATTTTCTCCCACACTAACATGTCATGTTGTGACACAACTGATGTACTGTTCAGAGCAGTGTCAAACCCAGCTCTCCTGTTACACAATACACAAAAGAAGTATCTATTTAAGGTTGTGATTACAAGGATCTCAGTCATTGGATCTTTGTCCTTGTTCATCTGTCGGTAATCTCTGAATTAACTCTTCTTATGATCTATTGAAAAATCAATATCATTTTGCACATAACATGTCACTGGCTACAATTACACTAGACTTCGTACATGTTTGGAAGGGTAGCTCCTCTAGGTTTGAAAGAGGCCCATCTGGTTCCAAACGTCACCTTTAATCTGAATCAGTTCTCTATAACCATTACTACATCCATGCCAGCATTAATTGACACTCGTCTTGGATCCGTTTCTCTGGAGATCTTGCAATTAAAAAGTACCGTCTCTCCGCAAGAGGATATTACAAAATCACAATCTATTGGATAAATCATAGTCAACCATGGGTCACTGTTCATTTAGTCAGGGCGAGTCAGTAAATACTGATTCATAAACACTAGGGAGACTTCTTGTGACTATGGAAAAGGCATGGTCGATTTATACCATAGTTCTCTCAGAACAGTTACGGTCGAGGAAGTAAGACCGAGCCAATCGGATATCGGTAATGTAAGACAGAGGAGCGAAGCTCAAAGGTCTTACATAACAATATACGACTGCCGGTGTTACTTCCCTCGACCATAACCAAGGAGGAGTGCTTCATATCACTAATGAACTGTTTAAGTGCCAGAAATACCTGAATAAAATAAGAAAACATTGAGATATAAAGTGAAGAATGCTGTATGTCCCGGTTAAAAAGGAACTCAATCACAGGGTGAGAGAAAAAACACATGCAGCATGGACCAACTGTAAAATTGAACAGCTTTTCATCACCTGCTGCGTGTTTCAGTAGTAAACCAGTGGGTTACTAAACTAAACACGATATGTGAGGTACTACATTCGATTCCCATCATCTATAATGAAAAGGTTTGTTTCGTGTCTTCGATTTATGAACATTGGATGTTTAAAACACCAAGTACAAATTTTATCTACTGCTTAACTCATCAGGTCTTACTTGGAAAACGTAAAACCTCCCAAGAGGTTATCACGAGATACGTATAGATACCTACAATACAATATGCAAAAGTGGCAGAAGGTCTATAAAAGAAGTTGATACATGCTATTGTATCCCGATTGCGTTGATCGATGCTTATGATATCAATCATTGGATTGTCTGGTCCAAACTCGATTATTTTACAGACTGCTGTCATATAGCTGGAGTTAAACAACAAACAAACAAAACACCGAACTACTTCTAGTAACATTTTGATAACGTTTGTGATGTTTTCGTTAAATCCATTTTTCAAGTGTATATTCTCTTTCGTACAACGGTTTACAATGTCTGGATCTGTATTGAAAATGGGCCCCGGACCTTGGAGCATAGCGCATAACGTTTTTCTTTGTGCATATTATGTACGAGAGGTATACTGGGTTTGTATATATCCCTACCTCTGCCTGCAACTTATATTCTTGTATGTTAGAAAATAATGTAAATAACTATCAAGCAATTGGTGTTTATAAGGATTTTATTAGCACAAGAATACAAACCTGACCACGACTGACAATAATACTGACAAAATATCACAATGCAGTTAATCTGATGAAAGTTGCATTTTATCATTTGAAGCTCATGTATAATCACTCGGGATTTACCAGACACCTACATTGGTGCCCGCATATATGAAACAAGCCTTGACCCAACCGAGACAATGTAGTCCAAACAACCATGATTTTTATGTTTTGGAAAACACACGAAAAAACCCCAACATTTTAAGGGCGTCAAAACACTTACAGCAACCGCCGATAAGTTCAAGAAGATAAATGTTTATTTATACTATGGATTAGCAAAGTATTTAGGTATTATATATGAGTATTTTCATTATTCATTGAACATCTACTTGTTAATAAAATACAAGTGAGAAATTAATTGTACTGGCAAGTGAATACTTTATCAAATCTAATTTAACCACATGACCAATACAGGAGTTGTAGGGTATGGAAAAGTGTTGTTTATTGAAATATTTCATTGACAGATATAACAAGATGTCAAGAAGATGAGGAAGGGACATTCACACGGTACAACTACAAAGTACAAATGTAGTTGTATACAATATGTGGCATGCAACTGCGTGGACCGATGCTCATGATGTCAATTACTGGATTGTCTTGTCCAGGCTCGATTATTTACAGACCGCCGTCATATAGCTGGAATATTGCTGAGTGCGGCATGAAACAACCAACCAAACCAAAAGCATACAACACATTGTCGGACCAAATTTTGACATATTGTACGAAGTTGGACATGCTCTATTTTCATGCCACAGGTTGTAGGCACGCAGCCAATCAAAGCGCGAATCAAATTCACGTGATATTTGTACCTTGTGAATGGCCCTTTACCTGTAGCTCACCTGTCCCACTTCTGATGCAAGTATACAAAATGCCAACATGAAGAAACAATTAACACCTTTAGTGAATACATTGATAAATACTGACATACATGGTCATTACCCTCGATACTCCAGTGTATTATATATCCAATTATATATCACACTGTACAGATAAATGAGGATGATGACCGCATGAACAAGCATTACTACGCACACTACCAGCTAACTGTATACAAACAGTACACATAGCATTTATCATACCTCCATGTCAGAATGATAAGATCTGATTTCCGACACGCCCCCATTCTGTGCTGGTCTGGTGGCCATTTGTGCCCAGTTGGTTACAAAGATATTATTTCATTAAGAATTAGGAAGAGTCATGTATTGGGATTGACAGAATAATCATCCAAGACAAGGTAGATGTAAAGTTTGTGGTTTTACAAGAAACAAGGACCCGTGAAGATCCGGGGTAGAATAGGTCTTCAGCAACCCATGCTTGCCATAAAAGGCGACTATGCTTGTCGTAAAAGGCGACTAACGGGATCGGGTGGTCAGGCTCGCTGACTTGGTTGATGCATGTCATCGATCCCATTTGCGTGGATCGATGCTCATGATGTCAATCACTTGATTGTCTAGTCCAGACTCGATTATTTACTGACCGCCGTCATATAGCTGGAATATTGCTGAGCGCGGCGTTAAACAACAAACCAACCAACTACAAGAAACAAGGATACAAGGCGAACGGTGCCATACGGAGAGTCTAGCCTTGTGTAAAGATACAATAGGATAGTGCATTTCAGACACCAGGGATATTATTATCCCCCGCCACGAAGCGAAGTGGGGGATATTGGAACGGAATTCGTCAGTCCGTCCGGTTCTCAGTTTTATTTATGTCGGAATAATGAAATTTTCCACACTGATGTCACTGGCTATGATCTCAAATCAGTTCGAAAATTGGTGTTGTAAATTAAATCCTTACAGAGTCATGTTCCTTGCTCCGTGCTTTTTAACTTAGAGCATACTGCGTAAATGTGGACATGTTTTCTCAGAAACTAATAAAAGTTGTATGAATGAAAGTTTGCATGCTTATCTCAGAGATACTTGTCAAGACTGGGTTCGAAAATTGGTCCCGTATATTTTATGTTTACAGAGATCCATGGGGACAAGTCATCTCAGAAACTGTTGACGCTAGCTTATCTAAGAGATAGCTATCAAGACGGAGTTATTAGGAAAATATATTTCTGAGCGGGAGAATAAATCCCTTATATCCCTATTCGAAGCAAAAAGCCGCACGCTTTTCCGCCTCAATGACACAGCACAGTTAACTTCAGCTCAATCGAACAGCTGTTAATTATGACGAAACTTCTACTTTTATTACATCTCTGCCATAAGTCCTGTTATTTGGCTTCAATCACACTAACTAAAATTTTCAGATTTTCAACATACGTCCTCTTCACTGTCAATCACCCAATTAGTTGTCGCTAAGTAGTCTCGTAACTACCCAAGCCATGACAACATAATGGCGGCAACGTCACATTTTTTCTGTGTGTGCTAGAGTCAACACCTATTATTTTATCAGTAGTAACGATCTAGCACTTGGTAGTAAGTCACGGTAATCTAAGATTATTCAAATAGTTTTCTTTAAATAAACAGACATATAAGTATACATTACTTTTACTGCTGGAAGTTATAGCCCGTACGTAAGTAAAACTGGAGTTTGGTGCTCTTTGTGAGGTTAAAATGCAGCCTCTCTATACCCCCGGGTGTAGGAAGTGTGGCCGTTTCATGGGCTCGGGAGATCCTCATGAAAGCTGCACGAAGTGCAGAGGCACTACTTGCAACTAAGGCCAAGAGATAGGAGGCCGCTAAGAAGAAGGTGGTAAACATCACGGCTGAGAAATGCGTCTCCCACTCCGGTCATCCCACCGTCTCCTGGACTCTCTATGAGTCTTATTCCCCAACTTTTCCAGCAGCAACAGGAGATGGCGAAGAGCATGTTAGAGACAAAGCTCTCAGTGCTGGACGAAGAAATGCCAAAATCAAGGAGATAGCTCTGGCAAGAAGAATTCCAGGGTCACGAGCCCGCAGCGGGGAATGCCATCTCTCCACTCTTCAAACACATGACCAGCAAGCTGAGCCCCACGGCCAGCCACCCAGAGCCATTCGACCAGCAGGCTTAATTATACTAAGAGACAA